TAAGGGAGGAGTGTAAGAAGAAAAATACATTTAATTATATGACATTTAGTTTATTTGTACACTTTATTTATCCCTGTAAAGAAATCTCTCTTCTGCATTTGACCCATCCCGAATGCCATGGACACTGTAGAACCGCAATTGAGGACCAATATGGGCCTCTCTCACATTTTATCTCCCTTTTTTTGTTTTTGAGTGGTGCCTTGTCAATGCAGGAAGGTCTAAGGACAGTGATGATCCGGGACAAGAAAAAAAAAAACGCATAGATGACTGTTTTATTCTTGGATCTGTTGTTGGCAAATTGACAACTTAAAGTTATGTCCTCCGAGACGACTGCTGTTGTAATTCAGGGCGATACACAAATACATTGGACCAGAGCTGGAGGGTTTTGTCTATTGTACATGTTTTCTGTAGGGGGAAACCGGAGCACCTGGAGGAAACCAAGGCAGAAACCAAAATTCCATGCAGGCCCTGTCTGCAAACTAACCCAGGACCCAGTGCTAACCACTCAGCTACTATGCTGCTAGTGTAACAACTGACCAATATAATCAACAATTGAGCCTGGACAAAAGTTTTAATTAACTCGTTTATTATTAAAGATTTCATTTCATTTCATTTTCATCCCTTTATCTATCCATTCCTGGGTCAGGGGGACGGCCATCAGAGCTGCCACCCAATTCACAAGGTATAATTATATATTGTGCATGCTTTCGTACAACAACAGAATTCCTCATCAGAAAAGCTTTCTGCATTTTTGAGTCCAGCACAAAAAGAATATCAACCAAATGTGTTTAAGACAAAATGTGACTTTTAGCAGCTTGAGGTTGTGGGCCAAAATTGATAAGACTATTATAAAGACAGTACTTGCTGGACCAGGCCCCCTGAATATAAACCAAACATCTGTAAAGACAGTAACTGTTGGAGGTTAGGACTCATCTACCTATAAGCCACACAACTGTTGTAACTGATAACTGTTACAATATGGTATATTGTTTATACTGCATATATGTTATACGCCACAAGGGGGCAGTCTCGCGAGTTTTAACCGGAGTTTGTACGACAATGACTGCTCACTTGAATGGGGCACTTCAATAAATGCCGACCCAGTTGGGCCAGAGCAAAGAAGCTGGACTTGTTTTATTGTTACAAACCCACACTTTAACATGGTGGCAGCGGTAATGAACTTTGCCCGAATTTTTTGAGACGTTTTTGGAAATTGCTGCGGAGTCACTAGAGAAGACGGTAAAGTACTAACCGTCGAGCATTGATTAGCATCGCAAGACAAGCTAATAGGATGGACGGACTAAAAGCTCCACAGACGTTGTGTCTGGACTCCAATAACCTGTCTAAAACATGGAAGACATGGAGAGACGAGTTTCAACTTTATGTTGATTTAACTGTTGCCGAAGATGACGAGAAAAGGCGAGTGAAGCTCTTCAGTTATCTAGTCGGAGAAAGTGACAGGGAGCTGCTGGATACGTTAATGGGAGACACAGTGGAGGCTGACTGGATTGTGAAGAACATGATCGATAAGTTTGATCAACATTGCAGCCCAACGGTGAATGAAACTCTTGAGAGGTATAAATTCTTCACTAGAAATCAAGGCTCCAGTGAATCCATTGATGGCTATATTACGGAGCTCAAACTACTCACCAAAACGTGTAATTTTGGCACTTTGAGAGACTCCCTCATTCGGGACAGAGTCGTGTGTGGTATTAACAGCGCCAACATGCGAGAGAGACTTTTGAGGGAAAGAGCCCTGACTTTAGACAGTTGCATCCAGCTCTGCAGAGCAGCGGAGTTGTTGCGGGAAAACTGCAGAGCCATAGCGGGTCCCACCGCCGAGGAAGTCCACGTTGTGCAAGGAGCTTCGCGCCACCAGTGGAAGCCGGACAACGACAACACGGTGGAGTGCAAGTTCTGCGGCAAGACGCACGAGAGGAATAAACAGAAATGTCCAGCATTTGGCAAGAAGTGTAAAAAGTGTGGTAAAGATAACCACTTCGCAGCAATGTGCAAAGCACGCACAGACTTTAAGAAGAACAAATCTGTGCACAATCTGACAGAATGTAAAAGTGAGTATGAGGACATTCTGTGTGTTAGAGAAGTGACACAGGGTAAAAATGAGAATACGACAGACTCTGACAAAGAAAAAGACACTAAACTGTTTGCAGGTATGCTCTTAGGCAAAGATATTGTAAGATTTCAGATTGATTGTGGAGCCACATGTAATGTTTTACCTGTTAACCTGTTGAACAGTGATACAAAACTGGATGTAACGAACGCTATGTTAATGATGTATAATGGTACATCCGTTTCTGGTAAATCCCAGAAACGGTGAAGAAATCTATTGACGCCAGATCATATGAGATTGAAATGGATTCGGGTGCAGTTCTCAGGAGGAACCGTAGACACCTCAGACGTGCTCCTGGAGTAACACAACCTGTGCCTATGGACATAGAGACTGTAAACTCACAAGACAACCAAACAGAACCAGCATAACAAGCCAATCAAAACAGAAACAATGTGTTGATGACCAGAAGTGGCAGAGTTATTTGTTTACCACAGCGTTACAAAGACTAGAGTGCCAATTGAAATTGTATTGTTCTATATGTTCAGAAGTATAATTTGTGTTTACATTAAAAGGTGTATTTTTGGTTAAGCACGAAAAAGAAAAAAACTTAAAGAGAAAGGATGTTACAATATGGTATATTGTTTATACTGCATATATGTTATACGCCACGAGGGGGCAGTCTCGCGAGTTTTAACCGGAGTTTGTACGACAATGACTGCTCACTTGAATGGGGCACTTAAATAAATGCCGACCCAGTTGGGCCAGAGCAAAGAAGCTGGACTTGTTTTATTGTTACAAACCCACACTTTAACAATAACCACATCATTTAAAGGAGCAATATGTATAAATCTGACCAAAAGTGGTACTGCACTCTCCCTGACTGAGGTTGCCAGATATGCAGACGAATCCAGCTGGAACCATAATATCTGAATAGACAAGAGTTTAGTTAACAACAAACATATAACCAACACCTTTTTCAAAAAGTCATCCCTAGTTTTATTCCTTGTTTTGTTGTTAATGATTTGAGAATCATAATGAGACCTTTGTAGTTCTGCGGCCACATGTTACTTTACCAGTGAGATTGCCTCGACACGAAGAGTTCTGGCAACCCTGATCACAGACTTTCTGATTGGTAAAACGGTGGAGGGCGGGACATCAAAATGAAAACCTGAACAACTACAGGCCAATATCCATCATCTGCGCAGCTGCTAAGCTTTTTGAAAAAATTATATTCCAACAGTTAAATCATTACATGAATGAGTTCAATATACTTTCTCCTTTTCAGTCTGGTTTTCGTTCAGGGTTTTCTACAACTACTGCTTTATTAAAATTCACGAATTATGTTTTCTGTTCTTTTGATAAAAATATGTTTGTGGGCACTATATTTCTGGATCTGTCCAAAGCCTTTGATCTCGTTGACCACTATTTATTACTTGACAAACTCTACGCAATAGGCCTCGACAGAAATGCTATTCTCTGGTTCAATTCATATCTTCACTGTCGATTTCAATATGTTGTTTCACATGGTGCACAATCAGGGAGAACTGTAGTTGAAAAAGGTGTTCCACAGGGTTCCACATTAGGCCCCCTTCTTTTTTCCATTTTTATTAATGATCTCCCTAACGTCATTTCCAACTGCTCCATAAATATCTACGCCGATGACACCGTTATTTACAATTCAAACTCTGACATCACATCTCTCCAAAATCTATTGCAAATCGATTTTAACTCCATACAAACCTGGCTTTCAAACAATAAATTAATTTTAAACATGAAAAAATCTTGCTGTATACTGTTTGGCTCTCATCACAAAATTACTCCACTCCCCAGATCTCCATATTCACTTTAACGACGGTTCCAAAATGCTCAATGCAGACACAATCAAATATCTCGGCCTCTGGCTAGACCCCGAACTTAACTTCAAACACCACATCAACTCCATCATCAAAAGAACTTACGCCACAATGGGCCCATTATTCCGATCATCCCACTGCTTTACCCTCAATGTCAGAAAACGCATCATTACACAACTGGTTCTCCCCATCATCGATTACGCTGACGTCATTTATCAAAACACATTTCACACCCATCTCAAACCACTCAATACACTTTTTAACTGTCTTTGTAGATTCATTCTCAAATGTCCATATCACACACATCACTGCACTCTGTACGAGAACCTTCACTGGCTTCAACCTCACAACAGACGTCACCTTCACTGGATGCACTTATTATTTAAATTCATTCATTTTAGTTGTCCGCAGTATTTAAAACAGTTTTTTGTCCCCTTCTCTACACCTTTTTTACTCCGAAGCTCTGATTGTCTCACCTTTTCTGTTCCAAGAGTTTTTAAAGAAGTTGGACTCAGATCATTTCAATATAAGGCTCCATCAGACTGGAATAAACTCCCCACATCCATAAGATCCATTCTGTCTGTTGGTTAAGTTTGAATTGAATTATTTAGGTTTCTTGAAACTCCTTGTTTATGTCACTAATGTTCTGTGTCATTATTGTTAATAGTTTTACTTATTATTTTTTTTTTTTTTAATTTGCTGTAAATTGCTTTTTGTGTATGTGTGTTTGTTTATATGTTTGTATTTATGTTTAGGACCCCCTCGAAAATGAGATGATTCATCTCAAGGGGCTTTCCTTAATAAACTTAAACTTAAACGTAAAAACAAGAACAAGATTTAGGGGCTATAAACCTTATTTTGAAATGTGCATATCTCAGCTGAACTGTTTTTAGTTAAAGAATTATTTGAAAAGATCATGGTTTATTAATGCCTTTTGACATAAATAGGGCCATTTAATGATGACTTGACATGAAAATCTTACATATTGCTTTTTCAGTGACTGCTAATCTCTCCAGCCCAATGCCTGTGTCTCTGCTTTCCTCTAGACCAGACCAATCAGATGAGTTGCTGCAAATTCAATTAGAAAACATTTTAATCTCGCTGCCGTTCTCGGTGTAGCTCAGTTTTTCGCATGTACGCAGCACGACTACGCCGTCAGACCCCAGGGTACACCAGAAGTCACCTGTAATCCCGTTAGCGCAGCGTGGCCGGCTCCGGTTGGCTGGGGCCGCGATGTTGTCACTCCCACTGTGTTGCTTGTGTCTTTGGCTCTTCCCGGCGGTTGGACACGTGCCAGAGATGCCCCGATCGCTGCCCAGCTGGAAGCTCTGCAGTACGCACGCTGCTGGGAGAATTGAGTGGGAAAATTAAGCCTTTGATGGATGGTCTCACTGCAGACATTAAGAGCAGCTACTGTACGAGGAAGAATGAGTCAGCACTGCGGCCATATCTCCTTCACATCACCTTTGGTTCACCTTTTCCCATAGGATTCCACGCCACAGCTGCCGGTGATGAAGGGGCTGCGGATAATAACGCAAAGTGGGCAAAGCGAGATCGGCGTTTGGAAGGAAAAATTGGCTGGCATGATGTATTGCTATTGTTTTCTGCTAGGAAAGGCATGTGCAGTTTGTGTCCTCCATTCACATCAGAACAGCATTCTTGTCTCTGCTCAAACCTTTAGCTTGTTGTAACATGTAAGAGATTAGCTTTGCATTTTGTCAGTCTTCTATAGACAGGATGAATGGATGTTTGACTTGAGGTTAAATGTTCAGTGGAAAGTGGAAATGGAGATATACACAGGACTTGTTGGACTATCAAGCACACCAGCTAAATTTGGAAAGAAACTACATTTTGTTCACATACAGGCCGCACCTGACTATAAGCCGCACACAACAGGTCACAACGTGATTTGATGTTTTAATGCACTGTTCACTTGTTAAGGACAAAGCTAAAAGTAAATAAGACACTGAACTAGGAGGCAAACAGTAGCCCATGTTTACGCTCACTGTTAGCTTGCATATTTGGACTCAGTATTTGAAAATAAACGTGCGTCCTCAAACTTGTAGGCTTCTTAAACTTAAAGCTGCACTAACTGATTTTGAGACATTTTCAAACGCGAGCGATGAGCTCCCTCTGTCTGCTCCCCCTCCCCACACACACGGAGCTTTGACCGTGTCACAGTGGCCCGCTGTGATTGGTCACAATCAGAGACCCGAAACACTTTCTCTTCCTTGTTTCACCAAAACTCGATCTAAAATATAATGTCACGCCAGCACAAACCTGCGCTACTTATTCTTCAAAAGGACGTATATCTCAACGCACTGCATGGATATGGATTGCATTTTTGTAAGGAATACGAAAATAAAGTCAGTTAGTGCAGCTTTAACAGAGTCAAAATAATATGTCCATATACTCTGCTGTGTTTACACTATTTTCTTCTGCTTTATCTGTTGCCGGGTTGGGGTGGCAGCAGCCTGAGCAGAGACGCCCAGACTTCTCTCTCTACACACACTTTCTCCAGCCCATCTGGGAGAATCCAGAGGCATCCCCAGGTCAGCTGAGAGACTTACGCCCCTCCTCCCAAGAACACAGTACAATGAAACACAGCCCTGCAAAAAAGCTTGGTCAAAAGCTGGGTTAAAAGTCAAAATAAGACATCAGCGTGAAAACCCCTATTGGAAAGAGACATACTTTATTGATCTCGCAATGGAAAAGTTTGGTTTGATGAATAGTCATATACACATATCACATCAAGGCATGCAGCGTGCTGATACTTCCGCGCTCCTTAGTTTTAGTTTAGTTCATTTATTTAAGATGACAAGGACAGTGCACAGTAAACATTAACCTCAAAAGGAGAGATGCATTGTACCAGGTTATAGCTCAAGAGCTAATTTCCACCTTTCCACCTTACAGACAGTGTGGGGTAAAGTGTCTTGCCCAAGGACACAACGACAGCAGCGAGAGTCGATGGAGAAGGTCAAAGTTATCAAGTGGATTGGTTCTTCTGTAGAATCAGAATGGTTTTTTATTGCCATCGTAATACAATACAATACAATACAATTTATTCTTGTATAGCCCTAGGTCACAACAGAAGTCATCTCAGAGGACTTAACAAAACCATTGAAATCACCAACACAGGTCAGAGAATCAACAGTTCACACATGGAGAATATAAAGCACACACAGAACAAAATGTCCATACATGTTGTAGAATGCTAAAGTGTCCTGATCATCACCAATCCTTTCTGTTGGACACTAGGCAAGGCAAGACAAGGCAAGTTTATTTGTATAGCACAATTCATACACAAGGCAACTCAAAGTGCTGAACAAGATAGCATTAAAATCATAAATAATCACAGAACATTAAAAAGAAAGATAAAAATATAAAATCCCTCAGTTGTATGCACAGCTAAACAGCACCGTTTTTAACTTGGTTTTAAACATAGTCAGAGAGGAGGCCTGTCTCACATCTTCAGGAAGAATGTTCCAGATTTTAGCAGCATGAATCTGAAAAGCAGCCTCCCCATGTTTAGTTCTGACTCTGGGCACTAACAGGAGTCCAGTCCCTGTGCTCCTCAGAGTCCGGGCTGGTTCATATGGGACTAACATGTCACTAATATATTTTGGTGCGAGGCCATGGAGAGACTTGTACACAAGCAAAGCTGTTTTAAAGTCTATTCTCTGAGCCACAGGAAGCCAGTGCAGAGACCTGAGGACCGGACTAATATGGTCGTACTTCCTGGTTCTAGTCAGGACTCGAGCTGCTATATTTTGAATGTACTGCAGCTGTTTTACAGCCTGTTTGGACAGACCTGTGAGCAGGCCATTGCAGTAGTCTAACCTACTGGAGACAAATGCATGGATAAGAATCTCCAAGTCTGCTTTAGACACTATGTTTTTGATCCTGGCAATATTTTTTAGATGGTAAAAAGCTGCTGATGTTACTGATTTGATGTGGCTATTAAAATTTAAGTCTGAGTCCAGTATTACCCCTAGATTTCTGACCTTGTTTGAAGGTTTTAGGGAGAGAGACTGTAGATGACAGATGACGCTCTCTCTTTGTTTCTGGGGACCAAAGACAATCATTTCAGTTTTGTCTGCGTTTAGCTGAAGGAAGTTGTTTTGCATCCACTCACTGATCTGTTGGATACAGTGAAGGAGTGAGTCCACTGGTCCATGTTCTCCTGCAGTCAGTGGGACATAGATCTGAGTGTCGTCTGCATAGTTATGATAGGAAACTTCGTTTCTGCGTATTAACTGACCTAACGGCAGCATGTAGAGATTGAACAGAAGAGGTCCCAGGATCGACCCCTGTGGTACTCCACAGGTCAGGGCCATATGATCTGAGACACAGTTTCCAATCTCCACAAAGTACTTCCTGTCTTCAAGGTAAGACCTAAACCAACTTAGGGCGGTGCCAGCGACGCCAACCCAGTCCTCTAGTCTCTGTAAGAGGATCTCATGGTCGACAGTGTCAAAGGCAGCACTCAGATCTAACAGGATTAGGATTGAGACTTTGCCTGCGTCAGTGTTTAGCCGGATATCTTTTGTAACCTTGACGAGAGCAGTCTCAGTGCTGTGGTGGGGTCTAAAGCCGGACTGAAACATATCAAATGAGTTGTTGATTATAAGAAATCTATTTAGCTGTTGGTAGACAACTTTTTCAAGGACTTTCCCCATAAATGGCAGATTTGAGATGGGACGGTAGTTGTTAAGTACCGTAGCATCCAGACTGCTCTTTTTAAGCAGGGGCCTGATGACTGCAGTTTTCAGGGCCTTTGGGAATATTCCAGAATGAAGGGACATGTTTACTATCTGTGTGAGTGAAGGTAACAGACTGCTCAGAACAGACTTTAGAAATCTAGTGGGTAGTACATCCAGGCTACATGTGGAGGCGCTCAGACTGGAGATTATCTCTTGGACAGTTTGATCATTTACAGGTGCAAAGTAAGTTAGCTCAAAGAGCCTTTTAGGCTGTTGGATGGTTATCTGTGGATTGGAGACAATGGCGTTTTTGATGCCTTGAACCTTGTCATTGAAAAAATGTGCAAACTCATTACATTTACGTTTGGAAGTTAGCTCTAATGGCATCTGAACAGGGGGGTTTGTTAATCTATTAATTGTTGAAAACAGAACACGCAGATTGTTGCTGCAGCCTTCAATCATTTCAGAAAAATACCTTTCTCTCGTACTACGTAGCACCTGGTTAAACTCGCACAACTTATCTTTGAAGATCTCGTAATCAACCTGGAGGTTGGACTTGTTCCACTTCCGCTCGGCCCTCCGGCACTCTCTCTTTTGTGCCCTGACCGAGTCTGCTTTAGCCCACGGCGCCTTCTGCTTATTTTTCACTATTTTAACCTTCACAGGAGCGATGGTGTCCAGAACTTTCAAAACACTAGAGCTGACAGAGTTAAACAGTTCATCCACAGTAGAATACGATGCATTCTCAAAGTTTATCATTCCCATAAATAGTTCACTCGTATTTTCATTTATGTGTCTTCTTCGTACAGTTGCAGAGTCCACTGGTGGTTTGTTAGTGAAACACATGTCAAAAAATACACAAAAATGATCCCGAAAGCGCAACATCGACCACGTTTACATTTGAAATATTCACCCCCTTAGTAACTAACAGGTCTAGAGTGTGCCCTCTGCTGTGGGTGGGGCCACTCACATGCTGAGTGAGACCAAAAGATTCAAGAACAGAACTCAGCTCTTTTGCCTTTCTGTCAATAACATTATCCACATGAATATTAAAATCCCCTGTAATAACTAAGCTATCAAAATCTGTGCATAAAACTGAAAGCAACTCCGTAAAATTATCAATAAATCTGTGACCTGACTGCGGTGGCTTGTATAGGACAATGAAGAGTATTGGACGAGATTGTTTTTGTTGTATTTTAAAAGACACATATTCAAAAGACGGAAACTTCCCAAGAGACATTCTATGGGAGACAAAGTGGTCTCTGAAAATGGCAGCTAAGCCTCCTCCTTTTTTGTTTCCCCGTATTTCAGATTCAAATTTGAAATTTGGTGGTGATGCTTCTATTAAAACAGCATTTTCTGTATTTTGGTCAAGCCATGTTTCAGCCATGAACATAAGATCTAGATTATAAGAACAAATACAATTATTGATTAAAAAAGACTTGTTACAAAGAGATCTGACATTTAGCATAGCAAGTTTAAAAGTTTCAGGATCAGCGGTTGTGGTCGGCTGATTCTTACACGGAACAAGAATTAGATTTTCCTGATTAGACTGATTAACTTCAGATGTTTTTCTGTAATGTATTCTTTGTGTTATCACTAAGGGAATGGCACAGGTGGCTTCATGACAGGGCCCCAGCCGGGTCTCTCCTCTAACTAGACTGCCAGTGGCTGCGAAGCAGAGACCCTGTGCATCCTAGTGTTTAGAGAAAAGAGGGGAAGGGGAAGGTGGGGGAAGAGGATGGAGAGGCAGGTGGTTCTTGGGAGTTGGACGGGGGGGGG